ATCACGTGCGATGGGACAGTAAGGGGTGGGAGGGTAGCAACACCAGCGGTGGTTGGCGATAGATGGCACAAGCAACATGAATACTTTCCACTGATGCCATCTCACCAAGCACCAACCAACCATCGTCACCACTACCTCGACCAACACCCTCAGCTGCTCACATCACCACCAAGCACCAAACACCTAGCACCAAGCACCAAGCACCAAGCACTGCACCACAGCAACTGCCGACTGCACCTTGATGAAGTCTGGCAGCCGCTCCTCAAAGGCGCGTCGGACGTGCTGGTGTGCGGTGATACGGGCGAGGGCGACGCAGATGGGGCCGCACCCAAACTCGCGGTCCTCAAACACAGACCCGTCCAGCGCAGCTGCAGCGGTGGTCGTGGTGGTGATGTGCGCGTGTGTGTGTGCGTGTGTGTGTGTGTGTGTGTGTGTGTGTGTGGTGAGGTTGGTTGCATGTCATGGAATGCGGCGATTGGAAGCGCGTCAAGAAGAACAAATCACACAGCGGAACGTAAACACCATGCAAGCATGCATGCATGCTTGCAGGCATGGGCTCACATTGGATGCACATTTTGAGGTCGCGTTCACAGCACAGAATCTCTTGTGCAAGATCGGCATCGTCGCCGTACTGCCATTGCACATTGAAGGGAAGAGGAAGAAGTGGTGATGGATGAGAACGGCAGGGTGCCAGTAGAGTGGACATGGTGGTCGCATGCAACCGCAGCCGTATAGGAAGGGCAGGCATACAGTAAAGACTGAGATGTACGCACACACACACACACACACAGCCACACAGCCACACACACACACACACACACACACACACACACATCGAATACACGTATGTCAGCAGCATTGTGTGTGTGTGTGTGTGCGTGTGCAGACCAGGCGGGCGAGGACGATAGCGGCGAGCGAGGCGCCGATGCACCTGGACTTTGTGATGCGCAGCAGCACCGACACGGCGCCTGGTGGTGGTGATGGTAAAGATGGGGCGTGTGGGACAGGTGGCGATGAGCCCATATGCATGTGCGGATGTGTTGACACCATAAGCACGTACGCAGTCACAAACATGCAGGAACCACGTCAGGCACACCGGCATTCATTGAAACAAAACTGAGCGCAACAAAACACACACGCATCCCCTCGCCTCTGCCTCCCTTTGCCTCTGTGCAACAGACATGTGACGCACGTTCTCGGTCGAGGTACATATCGGCAGAGGGCCCGGCGTGGAAGATGATGCTTGAGATCCATGGCACGAGTTCGCGCGCGATGTACCCTTCAGGCTCATCATCAAAAGCCTTATCGAGCTCCTCGACAAGCAGCGGCAGGAGCTTGAGCCAGCGGGAGTCGAAGTAGAGGTTGCTGCGTTGGAGGCCCGGTGTCTGCTGCAGCTCGGCGCTTGTGCGGATCATCATCAGCAGCAGGTCGCTCAGCACCTCCGGATCGTTGCGGTAGTGCGTGAACACGCTGTCAAAGGTGGCAGCGGCAGTGGTCGGGGTGCGTGTTGATGAGGATGATGGCGGTAGGGGTAATGATGATGGTGATGGTGGTGATGATGATGATGATGAGCATCGGGTGAGCGAGTGATCGGTCGGGTAAAAATAAAGCATTGTCATGGCCATGTGCATCCTCGCAAACCGCTCACGCTGCATGAATGCACCTTCACAGCTGCACCTCAACCAATACACACAATCACACGTACAAGAGGAGGAATTCCTGGGCGTCTGGGAGGTTGCTGCTGATGTCATAGTCGAGGTATGCCTCGTATCGAGCGCGCAGCAACGTCAGGCGGAGCCAGCGCGAGCTGTCATCATCCTGAACACAATGCGATACAGCATTACACGTATGAGCTGGAGTGCTGCGTGCGGTAACCAAAACGCCCAACAAGGAAGTAAGAAAGGGAGGGAGGGAGGGAGGAAGTAAGAAAGGGAGGGAGGAAGGAAGGAGGGGAGGGGGGAGGGAAGGAAGGGTGGGTGAAGGAAGGAAGGAAGGGAGGGGAGGGAAGGAAGGGTGGGTGAAAAGATACAAGGGTGGATGGAAGCAAGCAGGTTGTGTGTGGCCTGCTCTTGATTACCTTGTGCAAGGGGAAAGGGGCGGGCTCGTCCTGCACGTAATCGTTGAGGAAATGGGTGGGATAGAAGGCCTGCACCGAGGGGGGAATCACAACATGCTCGTCTGGTGGTTCTTCCTCAGTGCGTGGCTCCGGAGAGCCTCTGGCTGTGTCAATGTCATGATTTCATCAATTCATGGATGGATTGTGGCGTGGTTGAGGGGAGAGAGTGGTTGAGGTGAGAAGACGGAGTGAAGCAGGAACAACCACGTGCACAAACACACGCACGCACACATCCACAAACACACTTGCAAAGACCTTTAACGTCTCAACCCGCGCGCGCACACACACACACACACACACACACAAAGGACACACACACACACACACACACACACACAACGACACACACACACACACACACACACACACTCTCTCTCTCTCTCTCACTCTCACCAAGGACACACGCACACACACAAAGGACGCACTCACACTCACCAAGGATGCTCGCCAAGCGCCGCAGCATGGGTCGGTTCCAATTTCAAAAGTATCTTAGGCAGGGGAGCTGAGTTGCTGCGGATGTCGTGAGCGAACAGAGCACGAAGAGGCGGTTCGAATGAGCCCCGGATGAGCCTCAGAGGTGTATGTGGGGCCGAGAACGGGTTGATGCAAGTTGGGGTGGTTGGTTCGATGGACCATGTCACTAAAATTTGAAAGCTCACTGGAAATCGGAGAAAATCGATTGACAATCTCCGATGGTTGAATTCATGGCGGAAAACTGGCACACATACCAATCGCACACAACCACACCAAGGGACTTCAATGATGGACAGCGCCGCGCACCGTTTGCCCTTGGGTGGATCCGATGGGGAGCGCGGTGAGGGTGCAGAGAGGTGGCCAGACGTGGCTCTTCCGCCGTCGGGGGAGATCGCACAATCGGTGGATGAGCTGGTGCATCGACTCACGGACACGGAGTTTGATCTGCCAGACTTGCCCGGCGTGGATGCAGCGCTGGTCAATGAGCTGAGGCATGCCCTGCAGCATATGCGCACGTCCTACACGGTGTCGGGCACCTCAACATCCGATGCACGGCCCAAATCGTCCGCAGCACTGCCAGACGGCGCGCACTGCACGCAGGACGAGTCACACGATAGTTCTGCGTGTGAGGACGACGATCACGATGAAATGGTGGACGATGAGGATGAGGATGCCGACACATCAGCTGAACACGCACGCATCTACCGGCAACAGCGCACAGCTCCACCCACGCATGCCATTGAGAAGAAGTGCAAGTGCGCCTCGGGCACATGCTTGGATTCTCTGCCGCGGTCTACCGTGCAGCAGATCAGGGCAGAGTACGACAGACTGTCACAGCATGCCAAGCGCATTGCATGCCAGAGCCTCCTGGCGACGTGTGTCTCTGGAGCGGCAGGCACACCCCCCAAAGGCAAGCCCCGCAAGAGCCGCGCCAAACGGCATCATGACGACTCCGTCCCCGTCACGACGCACCGACTCCGCCCCAAGTACTGTGTGTTAGGTGCGTGTTAGGTGCGTGATTGCTGAGGGCTGTCCGTGTGTGTGTGTGTGTGTGTGTGTGTGTGTGTGTGTGTGTGTGTGTGTGTGTGTGTGCGTGCTTGCGTGCTGACGAAGGTCATGCTTTGTCGGTGCCACGTACATGAGTGGCACTGCAAGCCGCGCCACTTGCTCCCAAAGCACTCCTCATTCTCACAGCTTTATGCACACATGCCCTGCGTGCCATGGTCAGGCGCAACTTTGTGCAAGACGTCGTTCATGAAAGTCACGGGCATGGGCTCTCGCATGATTGCCAACGCACTTCAAGACCTGCGCAACGAGCACGTTGTGCCGACTCCAACGAAGCGCCCGGGCAACACGAAGAACGTGAAGCACCCTCGCACCAAGTTTGCCCTCGCAGTGATTGACGCCATCGCGCGGGTGGATGGCCTGCCAAACCCTGGACAGCGGGGCCCGATGCTGCTCCTCCCCGTTGACAAGACCAAGAAGGCAATGCATGAGGACTACCTGAGAGTGCACAAGGACACATCTCCAAGCACTACTGGAGGTCAGCGCACCGCTCGTGCAAAGGAACACCCCCCACAGTAGACACACACACATACACACACACACACACATACACACACACACACACACACACACACACACACACACACACACGGGACTCAAACGCGAGCGAGCGCTCACTCAGCTTGGCCCATGTCGTGCTGCTTGTTGTTCTAGGGGATGCCCTCTCCTACGGGGACTTTGTGTACGTCTGGCGTCGGCATATGCCCTGGGTTGCTAGCGACAAGCACCGCACAGACCTCTGCAACCGCTGCATGGAGTTGCGGCGAACCAAGGTGGGCTGTCACGCACACCACAATTTTATCCGACCATTTTGCCATGTTTTTGTGAAATTTTCTGCAACTTGGCCGCCAGCCGATCAACACATCCCATGATGATGCCGTGCATGCTGGTTGCTGACTTGCAGAACCACGTCCAGCTCAAGCTGCACTTGCTGCCCACTCGACTGGAGCGTGCGTTCTACCACGCCCACGCACGCTTCGCTGCCCTTCACGCCAACACCTTGGCATTGAGCATGGACAAGGCTGGGACGTGCAGGCTGCCACATCTCACCCAAGAGCCCAAAGACATCTACTACACCACCGGCTTGGCTGTCGATGTTTTCGGCATTGCCAACTTGGGCACGGCGCATCAAGTCAACTACGTTGTTCCTGAGACACAACGCGCCATGGTGCAGGGCGCAGACTTCATGGTGTCGCTTCTGCACCACGTGCTGGAGGGCTACCCAGAGGCTGAGCGTGTGTACATCCTGGCGGACAACACGGCGGCGCAGAACAAGAACAACTGTGTGATGCAGTACCTCAGCGCGCGCTCAGTCCTGCGTCATCAGGAGATTATTCTGCACTTCATGATCCCGGGCCACACCAAGGCTGCCAACGACGCCCACTTTGGCGTGTTCAAGCATGCCTTCAAGAACAAGGACGTGTACAACCCGCGACAGTTTATGGAAGTTATTGACGGATCGAGCCGAACAAACAGCGCTGTGGACGCGTCCACCGTCAAGCAATCCGCATTCTCGCAGTCCTTTGAGCGCGCGGGTGCTCGAAGGATCGCGGGCATCAGCGACTTCCACCATTTCTGGTTCCGGCCCTCCGCGCCCGGGGCCGTGCAGCTTCGCGCCCGAGCATCAGAGGAGTGGTATGCATACACGACCCTCTTCCGCCCATCCAGCATCAGCGAGGACCTGTTCAGCCACGTTGCACCTCTCGAGCGCTTCCACATATCTAAAGAGCGCCAGCAAGACTTGCGTGCCCTCCGTGACAAGCACCTTGCTCATCTGTCACACGAGGACCAGCAGAACTTCTTCCCAGATGGCTACGAGGCCCAGTTCAACGACGTGCCTGCACACTCGTCGCCGCTCCTGCCGCCCCTGCCGCCACCACCACCACCACCACCACTACCTCACCAACCAACAGTCACACGGCATGTAGCTACTCACGATAACGCCACTTAACGTGTGCCTTGTGTAAGCAAGCGCATGGATGCGCTGTGGCCTCTTCTTGACAGTTTTACCTGAACCCCCCCCCCCAGCCTGCATAACCGACCACCTGCCCTCACCATGTCTTTTCAATAAAATCGCTCAAACTCGGTCCAGGCAAGGTGTATGGTCAACCCAAGGGGTGCAATGGACAGGGCACACGCAGGGCTGCAAATCATGGTTTGACACCTCAGACACCCATACAACGCCAAGATCGCCTCAGATCTCGAAACAGCCATTTCTGCCTAAGATACTTTTGAAATTGGAACCGACCCGCATAGTTGATTTTGGAACCAACAGCATAAAATGCAGGCAAGAGGTGATTGCAATTTGCAACTGTGTTTGGGTTTTTGCAATTGCAGGCACTTGCAAATGCAACGCGGATGACGCAGCAGCAACGACGGCAAATACAGCGTGCAAGAAAGCAAAGCAAGCAACAGACCAACCAAACGCCCACGTCAGACCCCAGCCGGCTATCTCGCGAACGGCGCGGCGTTCATTCTCACACTCATCACATCAACGCAGCAAACAGGAAGGAGTGAACGACACACACACACACACACAAGCACACACACACACACACACACACACACACACACACACACACACACACACACGTCGACGGGGAAATGTCGATGAAACTGGCTGGCACAGCCATGCTTGCTGCAGCTTTGGTGTTGACGATGATGGCCTGCGTGGGCCACGCACATTGGTCCCACCAGCAGCACTCGCATCATGCAAAGAAGGCGCTCCTGAAAGATGTCTCCGTCCTCACCCTGTCCTCCGACCAGATGACAACCGGAAGGCGCTCGCGTCCAGGTAAATACCAAGCAAGCCTTGTGTGGTTGTGTGTATGTGTTTATGTGTGCATGTGTTTTGCGTGCGTGTGTGTGAGTGCGTATCATCTCTCTCCCTCTCTGCTCGCACTTGTGTGTTTGCTTGTTCACTTGCTTGCTCACTTGCCCCATTCCATTCCCACACCTCCTCATCACCTTGCTGTGCAGTCCCTCAAATGACCTGTGTCGACGGCACCGCCAACTGCCATCGAGATGTGCTGCCAACCGTCATGCAATGCCGAAACGTCGGCTGGGACGGAAATGACGTGCAGGTGTGTGTGTGTGTGTGCAGGTGTGTGTGTGTGTGTGTGTGTGTATGTCTGTGTATGTGCGTGTGTGTATGTGTGTGTGTGTGCATGCAATTTTGCGCTATTTTGTTTCAACCTGTCTTGCACAGGTCTGCCTCACTTCTCCAAGCACACACAAACCCATACACACAAGTACACACACACGCACATGTACAAAAATGCGATCAAGCGCACATTTCCAATTGGCCGCTCTCACATCGCCTGTTTTGATTATGGGTGGTGCCTCTTGTTGTGCGTGTGTACAGTGGCAGTGCACGGCGGAGCTGGACAACTCAGTGAAGCTTGGCCGTACAGACGTCACGTGCGAAGGGTACGACTACCCGGACGACCCGTATATCCTGGCCGGCAGCTGCGGAGTGGAGTACACGCTGGACAGCACCGGCAACTACGGCTCCCGCCATGGCAAACACCACCACCACCATCACCACGCAGGCCACGCGTGAGTCGCTGTTATTGTGTGTGTGTGTGTGTGTGTTTGTTTGTTTGTTTGTGTGTGTTTGTTTGTTTGTGTGATTGTTTGTTTGTTTGTGTGTTTGTTTGTGTGTTTGTTTGTGTGTTTGTTTTGTTTGTTTGTTTTTGTTTGTTTGTTTGTTTGTTTGTTTGGGTGTGTGGGACTCTTTGTGTGAATGTGATTGTGTCTGCGTTTGACATGGCGACATGGCCCATCGCCGTCGTTGCTCACTTGTTCTTCATTCCATCGTGTCTTCAGTTCATCTGGTGGTGGCAGCAACTTCCTTCTCATCTTGGTCCTTGTCTTCCTTGCCTACCAAATGTACAAGTGGTGCTCTCGAGGTAAGTTGGCGTGTGTGTGTGTGTGTGTGTGTGTGCGTGCGTGCTTATGTGTGCGCTTGTGTGGGTGTGCGTGCTTATGTCTATGTGTGTGTGTGCTTGTGCTTATGTGTGTGCGTGTTTGCAACCGCTGCTGGCTCTCATCTCCCCCACCATCACTATAATCCGCCTTGCCATTCCTGTCTGCGTGTCCACATCATCATCATCATCATCGTTGTTGCAGGTCGCGTTGCGCAGGAGATGTACGGTGAGGGTGCGATGGATCCAAATGATTTTGGACCAGGCGGCCGCTTCCACAACACAGCGCCCCCACCAGGTACACTCCTCGCACACGCAGTGACAGGGACAGTGATGGTCGTGCTGATGTTGAGACCGTTCGCCACTGTCCTTTCGCACGTGACTGCACCAACCATCCCACCATCTCACCATTGCCTCCTCACCAACCATCAATCATCATCACCAATCATCAATCACCAATCATCACCATCAATCATCATCACCAACCATCAATCAATCATCATCATCATGCCCAGGGTACCCCGGGAGCGGCCCCGGCTGTGCGCCGCCGTCATATCAGCAGGCGATGAATCAGGGCGCAGCCGCACAGGGCGGGTGGAACTTCTGGCATGGTTCGTCCGTGTGTATGTGTGTGTGTGTGTGTGTGTGTGTGTGTGTGTGTGTGTGTGTGTGTGTTGGTTGCGTCGTTACTCCCCGTTCCCAACCACAAACCATGAACAAGCGCTTTCGCCTTTGCTGTGTTTTCTCCCCCTCTCAACCGACTCATACATATGTGTGTGTTCTCATCCTTGAACCGCCACACCCACCCTTCCTCCTCGTCCTCGTCCTCGTCCTCCTCCTCCTCGTGTCTCGCCTTGCAGGGTTTGGCCTCGGCGGGTTGCTGGGGTACCTGGCCCCCCGCCGCCGCGCATACTACGGATATGGGATGCAGCCGGGCTGGGGTGGAGGCTACCGCCAGAACAACTACTACTACAACACAGGCGCCAGCGGTGAGCTGTCTCGTGCGCGGGTGCATTGTTTTGATTCATATGGCACTTTTGGGTGATGATATGTGCACCATTTGTTTTATCCAGGTGCCAAAAGCACACGCAAACACACACACACACACACACACACAAACACACAAACGTACATAAACTTACAACCTTTGTAACCTGTCTGCGCATCTGTCACCTGCCTTGCAGCACGTCGCTCGCCCTCGCCTCCGCGCAGCAGCGGCACGCACGCCAGCACCGGTGAGTCGCCGCGGTGTTGTTGATTGTGTTGCGATCGAATAATGCAAGAAAGGAAAACGAGGGAAGATTGGGGGGGGGGAGGTGAAGGGTGACCCTGCAATTCGCCTGTCTCTCACTCACACACACACACACACACACACACACACACACACACACACACACACACACACACACACACACACACACACACACACACACACACACGCACACACACACACATGTACACGTGCGCTCTCAGGGTACGGTGGAACGCGTCGCAGATAAACGCACTCGACACATCCTCCGCTTGCATTCCCTCCTCCCTTGCATGCGTGTTTTGCCTGCTTGCTGTGGTGGTGCTCTCCTACCTTCCCCCCTGTGCGTGTGTTTCGTTTGATGATGTGCCAGACGATGTGAGAATCAACGAACGCAGCTGGAAGGACTCTCCGAAAGTCCATGGAAGATATCTCTAATCCTCACAACTCAGCATGGACGAGGTTGATGATGGTGATGGTGATGTGAGGGTGTGGTTGTTGGTGGGGAGGAGTGTGGTGGCGGGCTTGGAGGCACTAGCACAGACACGTGGGTGCACGATAAGCTGGGAAGGCAGTGCCGTGGACGGTGCTGATAGCTTACATGATGGGTGTGGTGGGCGAGAGCACCACCGCTGCTGCTACGACTTCCAGATTACCCGCCCGTGTTGTGACCAACAACCACATGCCAGTTTGGTTGTGCAAGGGCAGCAGATGTCCACTGTACCAGTACGGCACATTTTGCGAGATGTTGCAGATAGTGTAGCGCAGCTGCACACGCCGACAACTAGCAAAGATATCACGTCTGTCTGGCACATCCGCGTGCAGACTCGACGATGGACGGTGCAGCCGGACCTGCAGTGGTCCCGACGCCTCATGGCGCTGCTTGCAGACCGGCAACGCCATTTTCACATGATGAACTGGTTCAGCACCATCGGCGGTGGCTATTCACAGCTCGCACAGGTACGGTCACACAGTGGATGTGCGCGTGCGTCTTTGTGTATGTGTATGTGAGTGTGTTTATGTGCGTGAGAGTGAGTGAGTGAGTGAGTGAGTGAATGGGTGAGTGAGTGAGTGAGTGAGTGAGTCAGTCGGTCAGTCAGTTGGTCAGTCAGTCAGTCGAGTGTGTGTGTGTGTGTGTGTGTGTGTGTGTGTGTCTGTGTTTGTGACTGT